TCTTATTACCACTTCCAGGTTCTCCCTCTACTACCATTACTGACTTTCTCCTCCTTTGAGGTCTATATAATCCATATCTTCCATTCAATCAAAATCCTAATAGCTGTTTTCTACAGATCTCCAGAGTACCCTCTTTTCTTCCTCAATGAGTTCAGTACATGGTTCACAATCTATCTCCTCCCCAACTCCTGCCCTCAAACTAGGGCACTTGAACATACATACTGACACTCACTTAAACACCCTAAATGCCCAGATTCTCAACTTTCTCACTTCCCATGATCTATTCTTCAGTCTACCTTAGCCATATGGAAAGGCAGTCATACTCTTAGATTTTGCCATCACCCACAAATGTTCCACCTCTATGTTCAAGAGCTCTGAAATCCCCTTATCTGACCACAATCTATTGGCTTTTCACCTCTCTCTCTGCTTCCCCTTACAAAACCCTATTCTTCACCCACACTATGACGTCCAATCCCTTGACCCCTCAGTTCTCTCCCAGGCCATCATCTCTGTACTGGCCACTCTCTCCTTTTTTCCCTATCTTGACTCCTTAGTGAAACAATTCAACTCTATATTATATTCTTCTCTTGAGTCTCTTGCCCCCTTCTTATATTGCTGATTGTGCCCTGCCAAGTTCAGCTTTGATCAGTCTTTGCTCCTAAACGTATGTTGCCGAATGAAGGTGGAGAAAATCACACAACCATTCTTATTGGGTCTACTACGAATTTATATTACACAATACCTCTACTGGTCCTTCCTTCACTGCAGCTAGGCAATCACTCCTACATCTCCCTTATCAACTCACTATCCCACTCTCCACAATGTTCTTCCAAACCTTTTCACCATCCCTCAAACCTCCCATGGCTTTCCCCTTCTTCCACTCTCTTAGCTGAAAACATCATATTTTACAGAAAAAAAAATGAAGCCATTCACTAGGAGCTCCCTCTTCTTCCCTCCTCCTCATTGCATATCACACAGATGCCTTCTGCCAGTATCTCCTCCTTCATTCATCCCTGCCTCACATGAAGAGGTAGCCCTGCTCCCTGCCAAGGCAAACCCCTCTACCTGCACAAGGAATCCCATTCCATCCTGTTTCCTCCAACAGATTACTCTCCTTTCCCTGGCTCTCCCCTTCTTTCTTCCCCAGGCCCCCGCACCATCATCCCCACTTATTTTCAATCTTTTCCTGTTGACTGACTCCTATAGTGCCTTCAAATATGTCCATGTCTCTGTCATCCTGAAAAAACCCACACCTGAGCCTTCCATTCCCACACTATCATCCTATAATTTTTTCTGCCCTTTGCGGCTAAATTCCTTGAAAAAGGCTGTCTACGATACAAGTGCCTCTACTTCCTCCCCTTTTCCTCTCTTCTTAACTCCTTACAATTGGGTTTCTGACTTCATCTTAGTCAACAGAAACTGCTTTCTCCAAAGTTGCCAATGATCTCAATGGCCTTTTCTTAATTCTCATTCTTCTTGGCCTTTCTGAAGACTTTGACACTGTCAATCTCCTTCTCCCCTTTGATACTTTCTTCTCTCTAGGTTTCTGGGACACCACTGTCCCCTGGTTCTTGTCCTACCTATTTTACCACTCTTTTTTGGTCTCCTTCGCTGTATCTTCATCCAGATCATATCTGCTAACTGTGAGTGTCACACAGAGCTCTGTCCTGGATCAACTTTGCTTTTTCCTCTATGCTACTTCACTTGAAGATCTCATCAGCTCCCATGGATTTAATAATTATCTCTATGCTGATGATTCTCAGATCTACTTATCTAGTCCTAACTTCTTTGTTGATCTCCAGTCACACATCTCCAACTTCCTTTCAGACATCTTAAACTAGATTGTCTAGTAGACATCCTAAATTCAACATGTTTATGAACTCATTATATTTTCCCCTAAACCCTATCCACTTCCAAACTTCTCTATTATTGTCAAGGGCACCACCATCTTTCCAGGCTCCTGGACTCATAACCAACTTGTCACCCTCTATTCCTCACCATCTTTCACCCCCCAAATCTAAACTGTTGCAAGGCCTGTTGATTTCACCTTTGTAACATTCCTCAAATACACCCCCTTGTCTTTCTATGATAACTGCTACTACCCTTGTATAACATTCATCACCTCATGCCTGGATTACTGAAATAGCCTACTGGTTGGTCTGCTTGCTGTAAAGTCTTTTTCTACACCAGTACATCCTTCATTCAGTCACCAAAGTGGCATAGGACCAATCATATCATCTCTATACTTAAAAAACTCCAATGGTTCCGTATCACGCCCAGGATCAAAAGCAAAATCTTCTGTTTGGCATTCAAACTCCTTTATAACCTAGCCTCCTCCTACCTTTCCAGCCTTCTTACACCTTATTCCCTGCCATGTATACTCTGATCCAGTGACACAGACTTCCTTGATCTGTGCAAGATATTCTATCTTTTGGCTCCAGACATTCTCCCTGGTTGTCCCTCATGCTTAGAACACTGTCCCTCTTCATGGCTACCTCTTGGCTTTCCTGGATTCCATCAAGCCCCAGCTAAAATTTACCTTTATACAGGAAGCTTTTCCCAATCCCTCTTAGTTCTAGTGTCTTTCTTTTGTTAATTACTTCCTACTCATCCTGTATATAGCTTGTTTATACTTATTTGTTTGTTTGTTGTCTCTTCTATTAGATTATGACCTCCTTAAAGGCAAAGACCATCTTTTGCCTTTCTTTGTATCCCCAGTGGTTAGGAGAAATAGTAGGTGCTTAATAAATTACTCACTAACCTTCAATCCCATTATTATAAGTCCAATGTCACATAGTTCATTGAAGGAGGTAGGAGGAAATGGGAATATGTCTCAAAGGGGACCCTGACATGCTCCCTTGAGTATTTCCTGTAGCTAGTAGCCTGGGAAAAATCAGTGAAAGGAGGATCCAGCTGGAAGCCAAGGAAAAAATATTCAGAGACAAACACTAAGAAGCTTTCACAGAAAAGTCATGGGAAAGAGTTGTAAGGTTCTCTTCCCTCATCCTTGGTGGGGGGGGGGGAAGGGAGAGAGGGAGAGGGAGAGGGAGAGGC